AACGCAGTAACGCAGCGTTCCTACGGGAAAGTAACGGTAATCTAATTACCTTTTTTGCAATAGTAATCCCTTACTTTACTCGTTACTTGAAAAAAGTAATCGGATTACAGTAACGGGTTGTAATCTGCCCATCTCTGGTTTTCAGTGACAGAAGAATTTATTTCCATAAACAAGTAACAGAAAAGACCATCAGAGCGATTAAACTCTGTACAGCAGCTTGTCTCAATAATCCTGAACCCCTGTGCAGCGGAGGTCTGTTCATGTGAACAGCCCGCACACAAAAATGGGCGAGTGTAATTACACACTAAAGCCACGTCAGCCATGTGAACAGACTTCTGGCCATTGTGATCCAATCGCCATCCATCCCTAAACTGCTCTCTGTGCAGTAATTGTCAGCTGGACAGGTGTCGCCGTGATCCAGCTGTCCTCATGCTGGCCAAACAACACAAACAGCTATTTTATCCTGTAATTTACAGCAGTCTCTGTAGTGTCTGTGCTTTCTAAACCCAGCAACATATTATTACAGACAGTCCACCAACGCTGCCCCCACCCAACTTTATCCTAAATCTCTGTCTGAAGACGTCCTCCAGCTGTTTCCATCATATTTATTCACGTTCCACTGAGTTTTCAATCAAGCGAGTACTTAAAAAGTCTGAGTTGAGGACTAATGCTGTTAAAGTAGAGGAAGCAGCCCTGTTGTCTTCTCCTGATGCCTAAACGTTCACACCTTAATAACAAAGCTCTGAGCCGCCTCAGAGGGAACTAGAAACATCCTGTCTCCGGACCCTCATGCGCACTGTTTGATGATAAAATGTAGTCACTGGATTCAAGTGCACCCAAGTGGTATCAAGAGCTTAGTTAATGTTGCATTGTGAGTATGGTTTTTATTATTATTAAGGATCTAATCAGTTATTCCATCTAAGAACAGAAATGCAAAAGCAACAGTTGGGTGATGGTGCTCTTATCGACTTACATGTTTGCAAAATGAAAAATAACAAAAACTTTGGCATCTCAGAATCATTTGTTTTATCACAATAACAAATAAACTTCTGCAGTTTGTGTTTAATCTGTTTTTTCAATCCAAACTGTAATAATAATAATACAAACGCTTAATGTGAGCAGTTATCTGGAAATCATTTTAAGCAGCTCTGGTGACATCAGATGTTTTTATGTCTGCTGGACATTTTTCAACCTGTAATAATGATGATATGATAATAACCTCAGCTGTTTCTGTCATGTGTGATGCCAGTAACCAGGTGAGGACGCTAAACTGTGATATTGTTTATATGTTACTTAAAGTTTCCAGTAAAAATTATTTTTAAAATAAAGATAATATTTATTTCTAAATAAAAAAACATGACAAAAGTGTACTGTATGTGTGCAACGTGCCGAATAAGCAAAAGTATCATAAATGGAAGAAATACAAACTGTGAATGTGGCTCCAAAGACGATCATCATACATCCTGAAGTGAAATCACCTTCAAACTGCACACGCTCTTATAAAAGGTGGTTTTCCAGAGCCCTTTACTTTTCTTATAGATGTTGACTAAACCTTCTGGTTTGTGCCCTCTGGCTGTCTCTTAATGCAGAGATTTTTTTAAAACAACACAAACATATGGAAAGCCTTTGGGCTTAGCTGTTGGTTTAGTTGGCCTCTGACAACACGAGGTCATAAACAGGCTGCGACAGGCCTGCTATTTTTACAGCCCTGCTGTGGTGTGTGTTTGTCAGGGTCACTGTGGGTGGTTAAACTGACCACTTATCATCTGGAGCTGCAGAAGAAGAGGCTTAGGTAATATTATCAGTGTCTTTTTGTCTACGACACATCCATCAGGTCTAATTTCATGCTTCCTGTTAGGGACGTGGAGAAGTCATCAAATTCTTGTCTGGATCTTGATCCATTTCATGAAAACTATTGATTGTCTTTAGTCATTAAATCTTGATGAAACTGTTTATTCTGAATAAATTATGACAAATAAGCAGTTTTTTCCTGGATTTGTTCAACGGACTAAAGCATCACAAACAAAAACAAGGAAACTGACATTGCCTTTATATTTTACGTACACAGAGTGAGTCAAAGTGAGTCAAGCATCGAGCCCTTCAGTGCTTCCAGCTCATCGATCATTCCTCGCCTGGGACCTAAAACAGCGTCCCCAGTCACAGCGCTTTCTTATCGTCTAAAGCAATGTTGTTTTCAATAGAACATTTCTAAATGTGTTGTCTTATTATTACAGTTAGACTCGAGTACTAAAAAGAATATTTGCATGACAAAGTTTCACAACAGGAATTCCACTGCAGTTTATCTGCTGTGAGGGCAGGAAATCAAGCTAGTAGCATATGTTACTTTGTACCTGCCTCCTACACTGAGCTCATACTGAAACAGGAGGCACAGCTGGGGTCCCTGTTATGTTTCCTGACCACGGTGCCATCCATCCGTGCTACTCGGTCTTCTAGTCTTTATCAAAGTCAGCGGGGCCCCATCTTATCAAAAACCATTAAGATAAGACAAGAATGTGCAGGAGCACTGTAACTCAAGCCAGAACTGCTTCTATTCGTCTCTCCCATTCTTTGTGTTGATGCAATTAGTGGCTGTCCTTTAACTGATGATTAAATGGTTACAAACTGGAAGCTTGCTGGTTGTTGCACAAGCACCACAAACAAAAACACGTAAACTGACATCAGCTTTTAATTTTATAGAACAATAACTCAAACATCTGCTGCTCAAGATTCAAGAACAGCTGAGAAACAAAAGGACATCAGTGTGTAAACGACGACATTTCTAAGGCTTCAGGACTCTATGAGAGGAAAAAAGGAGACTTTACCTTTCCTCCAAGGGGCCATGATGGAAAATGACTTCTGCCAGCTGATGACAAGTGCAGCCTTTTTTTTCACACTCATCTTGTCGTAGCAAAATTTGAATTTCAGAAAACTTAAATGTTTCAGAGAGGAAAGATGAAAGAAAAGGTCCTCAGAGATTCTTCGTGATGGATTCTGCCTTGAAGATGAGCTGTGGGAAAGGTGTCTGTTGTTGGAGGAGCTTGCACAGAGGCTGCCCTCGACAGCGGAGTCATGATTCCTGTGTGCCTTTGCTGTGGTGCTTGAGTGAGTAAAAGCAGCTCCTCAGGCTGAGGAGGGGCTGGCTCAGGCATTCACAGTCAGGAGGAGGAGTGGTGGAAGCCAGAGGGGGAATGGCCACGAGACATCAACTACAAAGCAATGTTCGATGAGTGAAGTGCTGCCAGTATGCACACAGCTTAGTAACAAAAACAAATCTGAGAAATGAGAAGTGTTTATAATGCAGTCGTACTCTCATTATGTTCTTTTCTCAGTAGGCAATGGATGAAAGTTAATTACTTTGATTTTGTAAAAATTGTAACTTGTTTCCTTTAAAGGAGTCCAACGATAAAACACGTTAGTTTAGACTGTGGAGGCTGTTTCTCCCAATCACAGCCCTCGAGATCACACGATCCCCCCCAGGAGGACGATATAGCACCCAAGGGATCCCAGGATTATATATTAAGTTATATAAGCCCTTAAATAACCAATTAAATCATCATTCTATATGCATTTTTTCAATTCAATTTTATTTATATTGCGCCAAATCACAACAACAGTCGCCTCCCGGCGCTTGCATCCATTCACTTTCCTATTTCTGGGTAAGTGCCCTCGAGCGTCCCACACAGCGACTATAAAACAGTTCTGCTGATTGATTTTAACATGTCGATGCTAACAATGACAGACTCAACCTTAATTATTTAGACTCAGCTTGCTTTTTTCAAAATGTAGT